ACCCGGGGGACCGAAAGTGAGGGGTCAGGAGGTGGATGTGGCAGTTTGTGACCCTAACCCCAGGCAGTGGAGGTGAGCAACAGGGCAGTCTTGGGAACCCAACATCATCACACGCCAGGCCGGCGAGGGGACGGGGGAGACGCGAGGGGAGCCTCGGGGCACACTGCTGTGCAGGGTCTGGGCTGGCCTCGCTCCTCAGGCCTGAGCAAAGGCCAAGGCTAGGAAGCCAGGCACCTGTGGAGCCCATGTGAGGTGAGGGAGAGGCAGGTGCACCTGGGCCACCCCAGAGCAGGGAGAACCTGCTGGGCGGGGACAGGCCTGGGGGCTCCTGGAGGGACCCGGCCCCACCCAGCTGCCCAACAACTCTGCCACCAGGAAAGGGGCTCCTCAGACAGCCCAGAGACACCCAAGCTCAAAGTGTGGGTGCAAAGGTACTCGGGGTCTGCGGGCCAGCCGGGGCTTCGAAGCTCTACTGGGGCCTGGGTAAGCAGTGCAGCAAACTCTCCCTCCCTAGAGAGTGCGCAGGGCTGGCCGCCATCAGTCACAGGAGGAGTCACAGGAGTAACAGGAGTCACAGGAGGAGTCACAAGAGTCACAGAGGGAGGAGGAAGCCTCAGTCACAGTAGGCCCCCACCTTCCCTGCGGCCTGGGCCATCCTTCCCAGGCCCTCAGCCTGGAGCCCAGTGACTTGGCCCCAGTCCCCACTCTCAGCCCTTGTGGACAGTGCTGGGGCCCCAGAACCCCTCCTGGCTCTCTGCCTCCAGCACCTGGTCAGGTAAAGGTGGGGGCACTGGCGGGGGCTTCTCTGAGCTTGCCCCTGCCCTCAGTCCCTGCAGCTCTGGGACTCCTGAGATGTGGCCTGGAGGGTGGAGACAGGGCGGCAGCTCTTGCAGCCTGCTGCATACCTGTCCTCCCCAAGAACGCTCCAGAGTCACCCCCAGATGTGAAGGCCCAGACCTGCTCAGTGACCAGCTCCTTCTGATGTTTCTTCCAGCCCCACCAGGTCGGGAGCAGAAGGACAACCCCTGAAAGGGCCCCTGACTGGCTGTTCCCCTGCCCTCCTCCTGTCCTGGCACCTGCCCATGCCCTCATGTGGTGTCTCGTGGAGGAGCAGGTCAGCCAGGCCTCCTCATTAGCTGCTAATTGCAGTCCCGCCGGGCCTCCCAGGGCTGTTGCCAGGATTCCACCTGTTGACAAGATGTAGCGGCCCCAGAGGGAAGACACCACGTGTTGATTATGCCACTAATGATGTGCTCTTTGCCCAACAGTAATTCCCTTCAACAAATAAAATGTGTCCGCTTGGCCCACAGAGCCTGACGGTTACATCACACAGGACAGAGTGCACTCGGGGGTGAGGCACTGGGCTCGGGCAGGGAACACACCGGACACCAGGGGAGGGCCGACCACAGGTAATAGTTGCCACCAGTGCCCCATGTTTTCCTACAAAACGGCTGCTTTCTCTCCGGATTTTGAGAATAGAGTCTGCACAGGCCCACCCTTGCCCATCTCCCGGCCAGTGGGGCCCCTCCTCATCCTCCTGCCCCCCAAAGAAGGCAGGGCCTCAGGAGTGCACAGGCGCCTGAGCCCCTGAGCGGTGTGGGAGGGTCTGCTGGGGACTCAGTAGGGGTTGTGCCCCAGCCACCCAGACAGGGAGGTGCACCCCATGACCGTGTGGGATCTGAGCTGACTTACCCAGAACCCCCCAAGTGTGAAGACTCTCATGCTCCTAAGGAGACCCCTCTCTGACCACCCACATGAACAAACAAAATAGCCCCCAGTTTACAAAAAGTGTGGGAATGGGTCTAGAAGGCAGAGCTACTTCCCACAGGACTGAGCACCCCCACATCCTGGTTGGTATGAGGCCACCCCAAGGCCACACTGGCCTGCCCTATGGACCATGGCCTGTCTCAGGCCCCCCAGGAAACACATCTGGTGTCCTACACATTGGTGGCCACAGGCAGGGTACTGGCGGACCCACCCCTCCCCACTCCTGCCACCCCCAGCCCAGGCACCCAACTTCATACCAGCTGGCTACAGTGGGTATGGAAGGTCTCCCCATGGTGCTGGGGTGGCAGCAGGAAGCCCCCCTGGGCCCTGGCTGCCCCTCCCACCCTGTGCCTGGTGGGGGCACCAGGGCCTCTGTGCAAGTGGCGAGTGCCTCTGTGTCCCTTGGGCCTTGGAAGGTGTGGGGCCCTGATGCAGGACACTAACACTGAGAATGCAGTAAATGTTTTGAAACAAGACATTTATTTTTTTATTTTTATTTATTTTTTCCTTTTTTTGTCTTTTTTTCGTGGCCGGTAACGGGATCGCAACCCTCGGTGTCGCGCCCACACCGCGCTCAACCAGAACAGACACAGAGGGGCAGACACTGCAGAGATGTGGCCAAGCAAGGGATCCCTGGGGCCACCAGACGTTGGAAGAGGAAGGAAGGACCCTCCCTGCGGCCTTTGGAGAGAGCACAGCCCTGCTCACACCTTGATTTCAGATGTCTTGCCTCCAGAACTGTGAGAGGATACATTTCTATTGTTTTAAGCTGCCCAGTTTGTGGTCATTTGTCACAGCAGCCTCAGGAGACTGACACAGGGCAGATCCCTTCAGAGGGTAAAACTCGGACAGCAACCGACAGGAGGGGAAGAGTGTCCCCACAGGCCTCAGCACATACCAGATGGGCAAGAGGATGTTGGCGGGCTTTCCCCACCCAAAGACCAAGTGGCTGCTGTAGGCAAAGGGGTCCTGTGGGCTCCTCCAGTGCGGAGGCCCTGGCCAGGGCACCTGGTGCAGCCAGAGAAAGGTGGCGCCAACATGTTGTCACAGATCACGACAACCTGAGGTCGGCTGGCCTCACCTGCGTCCTCAGTGGCCCTCGCCTCCTCCCTGACCCTCCCGGCCATGTGTAGACCCTGGTATTCCCAGGGTCTGGTTCAGCGACTTACGCATTAGAAACACATGGTAAATACTTGCTAATGATGATGATGAAACAATTTGCAAAATATGACAGCAGGGACACCAGAGGCGCAGTGTTGGCACAAGAGCCAAGCATCCCCAGGGAGACGGCTGAGAGTTAATGAAAGACCCCCCCAAGGGGTGGAAAAGCCCTGCCCTTGGCTCCCCCCAGAGCAGCAGGTAGAACCCACTCCTGTATGTGCGTGTGCGTGTGCGTGTGTGACCAAGGCTGAGGTATGGTGCCTGGAATCTGAAGAATCCCACTCACTATTAGAAATAGACAGAACACAAAATAAAATTTGTTGGTCACTGTTGGCTCTGTTGGTCACTCAGATACTCCTACAGGGACTACAGGACCAATGGCTTGACACTGGACACCCTGTGTGTACCTGACTGCAGGGGCTCTGGGGCCACCTGGGGGCTGTGAGGTTGAGCGGCAGGCTTCTAGCCCCAGCCTTTTCTTTACTGAGATAAAATTCACACACCATACAATTCACACGTTTGAAGTGTACAATTCGATGGTTTCTGGGACATTATGTTATTAATTTTTTAATTGTAAAATATATATTCCATAAAATTTGCCATTGTAGCCATTTTTAAGTATACAATTCAGTAGCGTTAATGACATTCATGGTGTTGTGCAACGTCTATTTCCAAAACTTTTTCATCTTCCCGATCAGAAACCCCCTCCCCCCACCCACCCCCAATAACGTCGAATCTACTTTCTGTCTCTGCAGACTTGCCTGTTCTGGCCGTTTCATAGAAATGGAACCGTACAGTATGTGACCTTCGTGTCTGGCTGCCTTTCACGCAGCATGATGTTTTCAATGTTCATTCACGTGTGGCCCATGTCAGTGCTTCTGTCCCTTCTGTGGCTGAATAATGCTCCATGGGATGGATGACCACACTGGTTATCCGTCATCTGTGGATGGGCAGTTGGGCTTTGTTCACGTTTCGTCTGCCCTGACCTTTGCTCCACTGTTTGCTCATATAGACCTAGGGTTTGGGGAAAGAAAGATCGAAACCCACCCGAGTATCTACACATCAATCTCTTCCCCACAGCTTTGGGAGGACCCCCCCTAATGGAGACCATCCTTTGGCCCCAGGCCTCAGCAGAGCTCCCTCCTCTATAAATAATCTCCTACGTACACCCCCTAAAGGACCCTCCCTTCCAGTCTCAACACTTCCCACTGTCATTTGTTCATAAACCCACTCTGCAGCATTTCAGTAAAACAAAGTTTATTTTGTGTTCTATTTCTAATAGTGAGAGGGACTCTTCAGATTCCAGGCACCATACCTCGGACCTTGGTCAGGTATTGCCAAGTGTGGTGAAAATAGAATAATTTAGTCAGAATCCCTCGACTCAGGTCTGGCTGGGGGGTTGAGCAGCACATTTCTTGTAAACAAGTTGTGTGGGTGGAGTTAGTATGCATGTGCACCCATGTATCTTTCTAGTGAATTGTTCTTGTGTGTTCTGCAGTTTGTGAAGCAGGCTGGCAGGAGAGAGCTCCCCTCTAACAGTAGAGCATGTTTACTCTGCTGGCAGCTGCTCAGTTTCAGTTTCTCTGTGGACTGCCTAGCTCCTAGGTGTGTGTGTACTTAATGAAGACTATTCCTTCTTCAACCAAGGCTCCAAGGACCTTTTTGCCAGTTACCTAGCTCATAGACCTGCGTGTGAAGGGTTTGTGAACAGGCTTCAGACCCTAGCGGTACTTCGATAATTGGCATCGTAGGCAAGATTACGCCACACCAGGCCAGGGGTCCCGCAGTGCCTGGAAGCACATCTGGCTCACGTGTGGCGGAGCTGCTCCCTGCTGCCGAAAAAGAAGGCCCTGCCGCTGCCCGTCCACGCCGCCAGGGGGCGCGGGAGACGAGAGGTGACCCCGCCAGCCGCCGCGCTCCGGCACGCCGGCAGAGGGCGCGCGATCCCAGGCGCTCGGCCGCGGGGCAGATGCGCATGCACCATGTGGAGCGCTTTCCGGCAGCGTGGCGGAACAACGTCATCGTTTCGCGCCGTTGGGTAACACCTGCGCGCGGCGCCCGGCGGCAGTGTGGCCGCTATGGCGTCGCCCTTCAGCGGGGCGCTGCAACTGACCGACCTGGACGATTTCATCGGGCCATCGCAGGTGGGCCGGCTGGGGGCGGGCGGCCGTGCGCGAGGCCAGTCCGCGCCTCGCGCCTGCGCTTCCTGCCCTGAGGGAGGAGGTCTGAGCCCGGACTCCCGCCGTGCCCTGGGCCGCCTGCGACCCCGGCCCGGGCCTGGCGAGCTCCGGCCGGCTTCTCCACAGCGGAGAAACTGAGGCCAGGGAGGGCTGTGCGTAGGGTTCATTGCACTCACGGTGTCGTGCAACCTCTATCTCCAAAACTTTTTCATCCCCGTGATCAGAATCCCCCTCCCCAGCCCCGGGTCACTTCTGATCTGCTCTGGCTCTGTAGACCTGCCTGTTCTGGACGTGTCACAGAAAAGGAGCCGTACAGTGTGTGACCTTCGTGTCTGGCTTACTTAACCAGCCCGGTTCCTGTGCCCAGAGGTGTCCGGGGTTGACATCGGTGGCCGCGTGGGAGTGTCTGGGGCCCACATAGCCTCGTGCAGACTCTCAGGGGCCGGTCGTCACGCAGCCTTCGGCCACCATCCCCCTTTAAGAGTCACTCAGGGGCCGGCCTCGTGGCTCATTCGGGAGAGTGTGGCGCTGGTAGCGCCGAGGCCGCGGGTTTGGATCCTATATAGGGATGGCTGGTGCGCTCACTGGCTGAGCGTGGTGCTGACCACACTGTGCTGAGGGTTGCGATCCCCTTACCGGTCAAAAAAAAAAAAAAGAGTTACTCAGGATGGGGGGAGACAGGATTGGGGCTGGGCCGCCTCTCCACATCTTCAGGGACATCCCGCCAGGCCTCAGGCCACTCTCTCTGATTACGGTTCATCTGTATAAACGGGGACAG